AAATACACTGAGACTCCTGGAGCCAGAAACAAATAATATTTATTGGAGGAATATTAATAGCTTAAAGAATGGAGGGAAGAGCTGACCAGAAGGGACTTGGGGAAAATGGGACCCAGGACAGCTGGGTCTCAGAAGCAAGAACGTGGGAACCATCCTTCTGCGGGGAGGCCACTGCTGAGAGCACAGGGGCTCGGGGTTTAAATGCCCGTAGTAGAACCAGTGGCCCAACTGGGGTTTGGGCCCTGTGGTCAAGGCAGCCCACATCTGGACAAAACTACCTGGACGCCACAGACCTGATGCTAGGTGTTCCTGAGGACCTGCCAGCAAATGACTCTCGACTGGCTTTTCAGCTTCTCCTTTGTCAACATTTAATTGCCTTTGTAATAACCCAACATCATTCCCTCCCATCTTTCTAGATAATCACTCCATTTTTTAAATGAATTCTATAATGTTTATTGACTCATACATTGATTTAGTCAACAAATATTTATTGAGCGGTTAATAGGTGTGGTGTTCTCTGTTCTGGAGGCTGGGTCACCCCAGTGAACCAGAGAAACCCGTGTCTTTAAGCACTTACTTCCTATGGGGGGAGACAGGCAGCCACACATTGACAAACAAATACATGGCGTCCAGTGGCAATGGCGCTGATGACCGAGTGCTGATGGGGAAAACCGTAAGACAGGGAAAAAAAGAGTGAGGAGTGTGTGAGCATATTGCTCAGATAGGGTATTCATGTTTACCTGAGTCTGTCATTCTGTTCACATGCTTTGAAAATTTATTTTTAATTATTGTTGAAATATAATATTATATTAGGTCTGGGTGTGTAACGTACGTAGTGTTTCAACATGTACATACCTTACCAAGTGATCACCACAGTAAGGCTAGGAACCGTCTGCTATTGTACACAGGTATCACGACGGCATTATTGACTGCATCCCCTGTGCTGCTTGTTGCACCCCTGAGTCAGCGTTCACATTCGATCACTGTCTTTACTTGTCTGTCATAAAGACTAGCGGCCTCCCTCCCTCCCTCCAAGACTGAGCACCTGAAAGGGGAATCATGTCATCCATTGCTGGTCCTCACCCCGCCTCACGGTGGACACTGAGTAAATGCGTGTCCAGTGAATGAGTAAACACATCCCGTATGACCTGGCTGTTGGGTGACTGTCCTTGGCTGCTTCTGAGCCAGGCAGCCGTGCTCCCCAGTGGGACCCTGCAGGTGGCCTGGACGGAGGGGAGAATTCCACGGAGGGGAGAATTCCACGTAGGCTCTGCCCTTGTGGGCTCTCTGTTAATGTTGTTGACTGACCAGTGCTGAAATGAGACATTTAGCTCCTATGTGGCCAGTTTCTCTTCTCTGGGATCCAGTTGGTTTCTCTGAGTTACTGTTTTCATTCTGTCAAATCATACTTTCTGCATATGAGACCGGCTCTGAGAAAGAAGTGAGGAAAATATGCCTCCCTCACAACCTGAGTCACAGAACCATGGCGACAGAATGCATTGCGGCATCTGAAGGAAGCCCAGGACGGCCCAGCCCAGGAGGCTGTGCTACAAGTAACAGGGGCACAGGTAGTGGCTCCTTCAGAGAAGTGGGGAGCCTGCTAAACCTGCCCTCTGCACACTCACTGCCCATATGGACTGATGAGGAGAGAACTAGATTAATCCTCACTCAAGTACTGAGTCTGAAAGTAGAAACCAGGACAATGGAATGCTTTTGGTTGCTTTTATTAAATATGTGTGTGAATTAGAGCCATGTTGATGGTGCGGCGTTTACATGTGGCCTCCACTCCAGCTTCAGCCATGATGTTTTCTTCGGACCAGTGAGGGGACCGCCCTCAGCACAGCTCTCGGGGTGCCACGGTGGCTGTGCTTATAAACAGTCAGCTGTGTTGTGGGTATATTTAGCTTATGCTAAATGCCCCAGGAGGATGAATAGCATCTGTTTCCAGTTTCATTGTGTTTTGGAGCATGGGACATTTTTTTCCCAGATGAACAAATATTAAGACTTTTCCACTTCCTGAGGAAAGTTGGGTTGGATTTCGTCTGAACTTCAAATTGCCAGACTTATTACATCAAATTAAGATGAAACGTAAAGAGCCATATGTTCTAGTCACAAGTACTTGCTCAGTGAAAATGCCGTGTTTGGGTAAAATGATAGATACCAGCACTGAGACTAGAAACCACTTCATTGATCATTGGCCTGAGTGGAGGGTGTGGCTGACTGATGGCACCATTGGAGACAGGGGTTAAGGGGTGTTGCTAGCTGTACGGTATCTTCATATGCCATTTAAAACTTGTCCAAGCAGTGTGTGTCCAAGTTTTTTTCAGACTTTCTTATCATAAACCTTGAAATGTGTACATGCAAACCAAAATAATTTATAGTAACGATTTTAAGCACTGCCACCGTTAAAAAGGGATTCACTTTAGGCTTCTGAAAAAGCGAATTTGCCCCGTTGTATTTATTTATTTTTTCAGAAATCGTAAACTTCCTGAGAGAGATTGTCAAGGAAAAGTAAAGGTCCACTTGAAGTGGAGGTCGGAAAGGGGTGTCGGGACTATTACCCACCCTGTCTGTGCCTGGAATCAGTGATGGCGACTGCTCCAAAGTCAGCCCACTGCCACCTGCTGGCTGGGCGTGGATTAGACCCAGAATTCCTCACCTTCACCCCTGTCTTCTTTCTGCCCTGTCCCCTGTCTTGAAATGGTTATTTAAACTATTGAGATACATGCAAAATCTTCAAAAATTCTCTTATGGATATGTTTCAAGGCAAGCAGCTGTACTATGGGGTGGGAAAAAGTAGGTTTACAATTGTACACATAAATAATACAATAATTAATAAACAGTAATGAAAGAATAAACTTTTGTTTCACATACTCATAACTGTGAACCTACTTTTCCCCACCCTGTATAAAAACAGCCTATACACTGTCCATTATTTGTACATGCATTGTACGTGCCATGCCCCTCCCCCTCCCCCTCCATCATTTTATTATCAATCTCTGAGAAAAAATAGGCAAGATAGGTTGTGTTTCAATGTTCTCCTGTGAGCGGATCAGTGACACCTCTCCAATGGCATAGAGAGCAGGCAGAGCTTTAGTCCCTCTCGTGTGATGCCCTCTTCCCCCGGCCTCACCGGCCTGACTGAGGTGCCGTTTAACAAGCTTGGTCTTCAATGGCCTGTCCACTCAGATACCAGATACGCCACTCTTTGGGGTCTTTTGTCAGGTCAGCTGTAGTAATTGCTCATGATTCAACTTGCCATTGTAAACAAGCACCTGTTTGCTTGTTTTTTCTCCCCAGTGAAATCTGAAAGTCTGAAGACGAGTTAACTGTGTACACTTTGAAATGCAAAGTACTTTGAATTCACTTTGACTTGATTCCATATACGAATGATGAACAAACCTAAAACATCACTTTTCAAGTTGTAAGGTGTTTGTATGTCAACAAAATAGCTATGAGAGAGAGGAAAATACAAAAATCATTTTTTAGCTAAAAAAATCATACTTGGAAAGATTATATTTTATTAAGCCAAAATCTCTTTTAAATATCTATATTATTAAAATGTACAAGTTATTATGCGTAAGAAAGATAGGAATACATCTTAGATTAGAATTCTTACATTGCTATGACTAAAAACATGATACCAACTATCATTTGTGGAACACCCAGAGGTTAAATAACTTGCCTGAGCTTCTTATCATTGAAATATATTGCTTCTAGTCTATGTGCAAGGGGATAAATTTCTTAACTTTTGGTAAAGCTCCTAGTTCTGCTGTAACTGTATTCAGTTCCCTGTTAAATGTGTAGAAGAATATGAATCTTTGGTGTACTGACTGAGATGCATCTTTGCAATGACGGGCACATCATCAAATACCCACAAAGTGAAAAATGTTAAATTTTTTTCTAACATGTCAGGTGAAACACCTTTTCTTCTTGAATTATTACCATTGACTTTTGTTAATAAAAAAGAGAGGATATTAAAAAACCTAAATAATTGTGCATTTCTTGGTATTTTCTTCCTAATAAAAATGATACCCTGGTATTTAAGAATTCAAGAATTTGCCCTGGCTGGCGTAGCTCAGTGGATTGAGTGCAGGCTGCGAACCAAGGTGTTGCAGGTTCGATTCCCAGCCAGGGCACATGCCTGGGTTGCAGGCCACGGCCCCCAGCAACCGCACATTAATGTTTCTCTCTCTCTCTCTTTCTCCCTCCCTAAAAATAAATAAATAAAATCTTTAAAAAAAAAGAATTCAGTGATATGAATTGAGATTTTTTTTTACACAGATTTTCCAAGAAGGCTTTGACCCTGCTGATAGTTTTAAAACTGTATTGGATAAACTAATTAGATTGTCTAGACTGGTGCTCCCAGAGGTACCAAAATGCACTTTTCCCAAAGAGAGGTTATAAACGCCAGAAACAAAATCTGAGAGACCACCCTCCTCACCATGTGCACTGACGATGCAGGTGAACACATCACACCCCCTTCCTGGAAGCCTGCGCAGTCAGACACACTGGGGAGGCTTCTCACAGGCCCACCCCTTTGATCATCCCTTTCTTCTGACCGGTGAATCAAACCAGTACACTGCGTCCCTTCATTGACCTATGTTACTGTGATTTCTTATTGTTGCATTGAGACACTGTGTCTTACTCTTCTTGGAGTGTCCCAGAGCTTTGGGTCATCTTGAAGGCAGCTCGTTTGGTACTTGCTCTGAAACAACAAATGAAGGCCCATGTTCTTGAGGGACCCTCCCTTGACTCTGTATCCTAGTCCAAGGAATTTATAAATGCCAACACGGAGTCAATAAATATAGTAAATGAGTTTTACAAATATAAAAAAGTCTTCCTTCTTAAGTCCTTTCTGCAGAGCCCCGTCTCTACCCCACCTTTCCCAAAGGTGTTATTGACAACTGCACCCATGAAAACAGTGGGAATAACGACCTTATGAATAATCCATTAATATATTTGCATTCAGCAGGGTTACTTTGTCTGTTTTCTTTTAGATCATCTCAACTTCAGTCTCTTGGAACGACTCACTGGTGACAGTCAAAAGTAAGTGTACATTTTAATTTTTCTTTCAATCAACTGTAAATGGAAATTGCAGTTTTGTTCAGTGATTTTCACGAGAGAGAATTTCAGTCAAATATTTTATCAGTGAATAGTAGCACAATGAGTGGGAGTTTCCCAGGTAGGAAAAGATATTAAAGCCCCTCTTTAAAATTTGTGGAAAGGATAACATAGAATGGAAGTAAGTAAGGCACTACCTACCATCCTGTAGCATAATAAAGTATATTTGCAGCCACAAAGTGGAATAATTTTTGTTTTTAATTTCATGAATTTATTTTTTATTTTAGTATACTTAATATACAATCTTATGTTGGTTAGGTTCATGTCAGGTGTGTGATACAGTGATTGGACACAAGGTATAAAAATACCTCACAGAGTGGTCACCCCACTCATTCTAGCCATCCTCTGTCCTCATGTGGACACCAGCTGCATCCCAGGCAGCTTACAGATCCTCTCAAGAGCCCATCTACAACAGCCGCTTCCTTTGTTTTAAATGAGACACAGCCCAAGGAATATCTTAAATTGCATTAAGCGGTAATTAACATCTGGCAGAGTTTGGCACCTAATGAGCACATAATAGATAGTAGTTAGAGAATAAGTAGGTAGATTAATTAATTCATCAATTTTATGCTTTGTGAGGTCCTCACCACTGTGAGGCCGCGTGGTGCACTGCTTAGTGCCCCAAACCGGAGATGCTTGGCGTCAGTTCCCAGCTGCAGTTCCCAGCTGCACTCATTGTAAGCTTCCACTTACCAGCTGCACGATTTTGTGCACGAGTCCAAACCTTTCAGGGCCTCTGTGTTTCTGTCTAGAAAATGGGGCTACTAATACTACCTATCTTCTTGTTATCAAGTTGTCACAAGGATTAAATGGGTTAATATTTTTTAAATGTTTTATTAATGCCTGGCACATAATAATGTCTGTAAGAATGTTTGTTGAATAAATTAAAATAAATTAGCATACAGGGACACTCCAAGGTCCTGTGTAAGAAACTGAAAAACTGGTTTGGCCTAGAAGCAAAGACACTTCAGTAACAATAGACATAACCTACCACCCAAGGCTTGGCTTTCAGCGACCGTTCCCTGATAAAAGGAACCAGAGCTCTTGGGAGAAATGGCTGATTTAAGACTGTGGCAAGAAATGTGCGAGATGAGCCTGGAGTATTCCCTATAGTGCCAGGAAGTAAGGAGGTGCTAAAAGAAAGACCACGATAGTGCATTCACACTGGTGAGCGTGACACAGGGCAAGTCACAAGGGTAGAAAGTGCTCCCAGCGGCCGAAGCTGGAACACTTTGAGCAATGAAGTAAATAAATTCATACTGGGATATAACCCAAAGTAGACTATAAATATCTCTACTGATATAAGTAAATGACTGGATAAACATTTGAGGAGGCTGGAGAACTCTCCCATGCAGAATTCCAAAGAATGTGTGTGGAATACTCTGGTTTTTAGGAGGGAAAGCGTAACTCCAAATGGGAGCTGCACACAGTGACTCCTTTTCAAAGAGCACAGAATAGAAAGAGGAGTAAAAGAGTACCTAACTGTAGTTTAGCTGACAAATACCACCTCGAACCAGGCGACCCCGGTCAGCATCAGCAGTGCAGTGTGGTGTTGGTAGCAGGTGTGCTTCGTATGACGTGATGACAATGGCACTTGGCCTCTGTGGCCTTTCCCTCTACAACACATAACTGCAGTCTACTGAAGAGAGAAACACAAGACAGATTCTCATAGAAGCACGTCCTGTAAATCAGGCCTGGCCTGTGGTCCTCAAACCTCTCCAGGTCATCCCAAAACAAAGGAAGTCTGGGAAAGTGTGACAACCAAGTCAAGCCTAAGGTGACATGATAACTAATTGTTATGTGGTGTCCTGGATGAGACCCTGGAACAGGAAAAAGGCACTAAGTAAAGAATAAGGAAATAGGAATAAAGTATGGAGTTTAGTTGATAATAAGGGAGCAGCACTGGTTCGTTAACTGTGAAAAATGTACCATACTAATGTAGGATATTATTCATGGTGGAAACTGGGTGTGGAATATACAGGAATGCTATACTGTCTTCACAGTACTTCTCTAAATCTTAAACTGTTTGCAAAGCAAAAGTTTATTTAAAAGCAATGACGTGCACACTTTTTAAAAACTGGTTTGGAGGTACACTCTCCAATTTTCGAGCACCTGTGAAATAATAGTGTTTTGAAAATTGATGAACTCATTTATGTTTTGAGACTCATACATGGAGAATTATATTCTGCATTAACAGCTTTGATTTGGATAAAGGTGTGCATATCTATAAAGCATTCTGTGATATTTCTGCAGCCCACAAAAGGAGGAAGAATGTAACAACTGGCTACACAAAACCTTTTTGCAAGAATACTTGTTACTGGAGTTCTAAGCAGAGGATGACGTGCGCATTAGTTATAAATTGCAGTGTAACAAATTAGCACAAACGAGTGGTCTGAAACAACATGTAATTAAATGTTACCCCACAGTGTCTATGGATCAGGACTCTGGGTGCAGCTTTAGATGGTGCCTCTACTTAGGGGCTCACAGAGATGCCACTGAGATTTTGGCTGGGCTGCGTTTCTTTTTGAGCTTTGGGTTTTATTGTGTTTTGTTTTTCCTTCTAAGAACACGAGGTGGTTGGTGGAATTCAGGTGAGGTTGTAGGACTGAGGTCCCCTGTTTTCTTGCTGGATGTCACCTGGGGAGTTCTCATCTGCTAGGTGTTGTGCACATTTCTGTCCATGTGGCTGATTGCTTCTTACAGGCCCCACTACAATGTGGCAGCTTCAGGCCAGCAGGGGAATCTCTCGCCCCATCCTGCTGGGATGGGATCTTCCATATAGTGACCTGTTCAGGGAGCCACTATCCTTTTGGCGTTGCTGTATTCTGCTGGCTAGAAACAAGTCGGGGTTGTGCCTGCACTCTCGGGGAGGGGATTGTGTGAGAGATTGTGTGAGGGTGTGACTGACTAAGGGTCACTTAAGGGTGTGCCGCCTGTAATGGGACAGGTTCGAAAAAGACACAGGCAGCTGGGCATTGGGGTCGCCACTGTTCACGAACAAACTACAGATGAGGAAGGCAGACAGAGAATGCTTGCTTCTTGCTTTCAGGCAAACTGAGGCTCGAGGTAAATAATTTATTTCATCCCTGCCCCTCTCTCCTACTCCTTCCCCCACATGATTATATGTAAAATATTCCTCCTCAAGGTTATCCAGTATGAGTTCTGATTATTTGAAGATGAAGAAGTCAGAGAAAAATATTTGGAGATAGCCCATTAAGACATTAGCACTGTCCTGACTAGTGTTTTGTTTCTGTTTTTAGCAGTGAAGAAATTTGCACCAAAATGTGTTCTCAATTCAATGGCAATAACATTTATACACTTTAAGAAGCTTCCTTATAAAAGTTTAAATAAAATAGTCATATTTTAAACTGTTTATGCCATAGTTTTTTTCTTAAATCCTCACCTGAGGACATATTTTCATTGCTTTTAGAAAAAGGGGAAGGGGGAGAGGGACAGAGAGAAACACTGATGTGAGAGAGAAACATCATGGGTTGCCTCCTGCACGCGCCCGGACTGGGATCAAATGGGCAATGTAGGTATGTGCCCTGACTGAGAATCGAACCCACAACCAACAGCTCAGTCACAGGATGATCCCCCAACCAACTGAGCCACACTTGCTAGGGCTCATAACTTAATGTGTTTTCCATTTTTGAGAATGTTTACTTTTTTAATACTTAGATTTTAAAATTCTGTCTAATAATTACAAATAGGGTAATAATATTTGGGTTGTATTTTTTTGCATTTTACATGATGATGATAAATTTATCTATTTAAAATATATTGAATACTCACTTTCACCCATTTCTTTTCATGGATTCTGAATCCTTTTCTTATGAAATGTTAAAAACAGAAATACTGGTATTGGCATTTTGCCACAGTATTATAATCACCACCCAGATTTTTATGAATTCAAATAGTTATTTTTTTTCTGATTGTCCTTAGAATACCAAAATGTCCCTGAAATGCTAACTTTCGGCCCTGGAGCTGCATGAACCAAGCTGCCGTGTACATCTGGACATGCACCACAGGCGTTCTTTGTGCGAGAGGGTCTGTGCCTGGCTGTTGGTTCAGATACTGCGACCACTGTGTCCGTGCATCTCCACGGTGGTGACTGCAAACCACAGACCCTTGCCGTTTCTGTCTCAGATGCGCAGCCACCTTGAGGGAAACAGGCCGGTTGTGGAAACGTAGCTCTGTAGCAGCCGAGCTGAAATTCAAAGGAAATCTATGCTGCGGTAATTCAATTAAGAAAGGAAGGAGTTCTTGGGCAACTCCTTCCTCACCCTTCACCTTTCTCAGGTCTCTTCTTACATATTATATATTTATATATTTCTTCTTCTGCTCACTCAAGACTAAGCCTTAAGCTGTGGTCGTTTGTTTTTCTTATGCCAGTGGTACAAAGGGTGCTTATTCAGAGCAGTGAGGACATAATCACCTGTAGCTATTGGTAAAATAACTCATTTAGCAAATAAAGGTCAAAGCTTGCTTGCTTGCTTCCTTTTTTCCTTATAGTTGTTTTCTTTGTAAGAATTAAATAAAGGCATCTTTTTAAAAAACACAACATAAGTTAGAGTAAACAGAAGTAACCTTTCCTGCTTGCGAAGGGAGGGAGTATTCAGTGAAAGCGCAGAAGAAGAGCGTTTGTCTTTGGTTGGAAGGTCACAGGATAAAGCTGTTCTTTATCAGAGCTGAGTCCAGTGGAAAGTCTTGGAACCTTTCAAGGTCGTTGGCCTGTGGTAGTCATCAGATCTCTTTCCCACAGAAAGAGTTGAAGGATTTAGATTTGCCTGATGGTTTTATTAGATTTATTTTCCATGTGTCTTAATATATCAATCTGGTACTTGCAGCCATTACTGAAATTCTACATTTATTTATTTTGCATCATGGTGATGAAGTCCAAATCGGATTTCCTTGCTGGGGAGTGC